GTCACCCGTAGCCAGAGGGCAGGTTGGGGCTGGGGAGGCCAGGAAGGAGGCCACCAGCCTCAGGTCAAGTCCTGGCCTTGGGGACTCTGAGCTCCTCCCTGTGCCTCAGTGTCCTCGACTGTGACTGTGCCCCACACTACAGGGTGCAGCGGGGTCCACGGGTGTCCTCTCCCACCTCTGGGCTGCGCCTCTCCTGCCACCCTCGGCAGCCTTCTCTTTGTTCAGCTCAGGGCGCCCCCACCTGAGGGGACCCTATCTTTGGGGGGCTCCCACCGTTGACGAGGGCAGTGTGGTGTGGTGAGGCGCTGGTTTCAGTCTCCTTGCTGCAACTCCTCAGGGTGTCATTGGAGTTAAACAGTTAACGCCCACAACATGCATAGAACGGCTGTTGCCCATGTGTGCCCGTGTGTGGCGGGCACTCCAGGACATCATGTGGTGGGTGCCTGTCTCTTCCTGACCCTTGAGGGCCCCTGCCCGTCACCCTCACGGTGGTAGGTACTGGCCACGGCACAGTAACAGCCCCAAGCAGCCTCTACCCCCTCCCTGCCTCCTGGGGTCTGGAAACTGCCATCCCCGTGTGGGGTGTGCACCCAGCGTGGGGTGTGCAGGACTCCACAGGGACACTTCTCTTCCTGGGTCCCTGGGGATCCCCACGCCTGGCAGGGCCCTATCCACCCCTTGGGGACACCAGAGTGCAGGGCGTGCCTGGCACAGAGATCCCGTCAGAATCACCCAGAAAAGCTTGCAGGCGTCTACATCGCCCTGGCTGAGCAGGCGTGGAGCTGCGGGTGGCCCCTCATGCACTGTCGGTGGAGCTCAGACAGGCGGGCGGCAGGCGGCTCATTGCCGTTCGGTTTAGCTGATGTCTTAGAGTCGAGTTGTTTTGGCTCTGTTTTGTTTGATAAGTGCTTTTATGGGGTGTAAATGAAGGCTGTGTTTTATCTGGGGGGCGTTTCTCTGGTAGGAGAAATAATAGCTTGTTCTATGCCTTTGCCGCGTGTCTCTGGCCCCCTCGCAGGGGCAGATGTGTAAGTGTGTCGCGTGCGTGTGTGTAAGATTGCCTCCAGACTGAGGAGCCAGGCACCTGTGGCTTAAGTCTGGGCCACATGCACCGAGGCTCGTCTCCATGTGGGGTGCGGATTCCTACGACGCCTGAGCAGTTAAGAGATGGCTGAACTTGGGAGCTCCCTCCTGAGTTTCACATCAGAGCGGATGTGAGAACTGTCTTTCCCTCCGTGAATGGCAGATTCCTCCAGAACCCCACCCTCTCTCCCTCTGCATCTGTAGTGGGTATGGTGGGATCTGGCTGCTCAGGAAGACTCTTGGGACCTCCCTCAGGAGGGGCTACCAGGCTGGGGTCCCCGGGGTAGAGATGGGCCCTCCGCAGGGTGAGCAACGTTCTGGCTGCCTTCTGTCCACGGGCCTGCTCAGTGGTCACTGCTGTGGTCTCCTGAGTCTAGGCAGGTCCCTGGGGCCAGAGCCTCTGGAAGGTGGCAGGCGGGCGGGGATGAGCAGGTGTGACAGCTCTGAGACGTCTCAGGGCTTGTTCAGGGTCACCGGCCCAAACCACCTCCTGCTGCCCACCAGGGAACAGGGTGACGTGGAGGGGTCCTCCCAGGTTTCAGCTGGCGATTTAGGACCAGGACATACTTCTCGTCAACTGGACTGGGTTAAATTTGACTGACTTAACTGTGTCCAGGGTGGGGTTTACGATGTTAATTTGGAAGTTAAGAAATAACCCTCCCGACTTTATAGAAAGAAAATGATGGGATGTCGGCAGAGTCAGGAAGCTCTTCCTCCCATGGCCACACACGATGGGCCTTCCGGCCAGACAGGGATGGCTCCTCCTCCCGCCCCTCTCCTGTGGCTTCTTGTTATCATCCGAGGTCACCTAGTTTTTAATTGGCTTAGGTTTTTAATTTCGGGGCAAATGTTACCATAGCAGGTTTTATAACACACCTTCGTCATATTTAATTTGTGGCTTCATGCTCCCTGGAGATAGGGTCAAACTCTTTTTTGAAAGCAACAATATTTTGCCTAATTATTAAAGTAATACAAGGTCGTTGTCAAAGTTGGGGGAAAATGTAAAACATAAAATAAAGTTCTGCCTCCCAGAGCGAAGTGCTGTCGCCATCTTGGTGCGATGTTACCCACGTGGGGTCTTAGCAGCTTAGGGCACAAGTCGTGAGGCAGCGGTTCAGAGCTGCTCCCAGCCCAGTGCTGCTGTGCCTGATCCAGAAGGAGGATGGCCGGGAGGCTCAGTGACCTGCTGTGGCCATGGGATAGACACTGGCGCCAGGGCTGGACAGCCAGGTGCCCTTTGTTGGCCCCATGCAAATAACTTCTCTCCCCAAACATGCTCAGAAGTAGGTCGAGATCTTTTGGGTGGGGCTCTGCCCTCGGTGATAGATTTCAGCAATAAAATATAGTTAAGTTATCTGCTTCCCAAAAATGGGTTCCCACATGCATTTTTCTTCTGATTTTTATCTATGACCAAAATCAGGTAATTTTTCCAAAGAAAATGAATTACCCCTGCTCCCACCAGCTTACTCCTCCTGGGCTCTCCCTGACCTCAGCCTCACTCTAGCCCTGACCCCACGCAGACAGGCTTCTCGGTTGCCATCCACATCTGGGGGGAATCAGCTATGACATTATTGGGACACCTGACAAAATTGGAACATGAACTGTAGGTTAGATTTGGGTACGGTATCTGTGTTCGATTTACTGCGTGGGATGACTGCCCTGAGATTCTGCAGGAGAATGTCCTGTTCTTGCAAATACGCAGCGAGGTATTTCCTGGTAGCAGGACATGAAGTATGGGGCTTACGTCCAAATGCTCAGAACAAGTATCTGTGAGAGATTATACAAAAATGCTGTGACTACTGTGTACTGTTCTTGCAACTTTTCTGTACGTTTGAGAAATGTCCAGAATAGTAAGTTTAAAATAAACACTATGAGAGAAAAAACAGCCCATGAACTCCTGTCCTGAGAGGGAGCAGCTCCTGGGTGTTGGGGCCCCACTCCCCTGCTTTCCTCTGGAGCTGGCCTCATGTATATGGACCACCCCCGACCCTGTAGCAGTGTGTCTACTGTGGCCAGTTTTTGAGTTTCATGCGGGTGGAGAACTGGAACCCACGCTGTGTGTGTTGTGGTGCGATTGTGTTCACCTTCTAACAGTGATGCTTGGGCCGCTTCCAGTGTCAGCCCCGACAAATACCGCTGCATCTTGTCTGCTGACGCCTTAGCTCCCACCACAGCAGGATGGGGACCACCCCACACCGGTGCTTCCTGCGTGGATGTGTTGATGAGGGCGCCAGGGAGGGGGTGAGGGTCTGTCCCGAAGGCCAGCCCCGCCCTGCGGTTCTGCAGAGCCCTCCTGGTGCCTGGTGTAACAGATGGGAGACAGCTGGGCAGCTCAGGGGCCTGTCAGCATTTCCAGGAGGCTCAAGTGCCCTTCCTGGAGGAGGGAGAGCCAGCTGGATGCCCAAGGTGTTCCCAGAGAGGTTCCTGCCTGCAGGCATAACTTTCCACTCAGGAAAGGCACACGCGTGTTTGCAGGTATGTCAGCTGTCCTGCTCCACCCAGCCTGCCACCGTCACACAGCCCAGGGAGAGCTGACCCCACGGGTGTCAGCAGCTCCCTTCCTGCAGTTGACATTCCGGTGGCTGGGTCTTTCTCCCCAGGCACAGGCAGGCCTGCGTCTGGGGAGCCTGTGGAGTGGCTCTCCTGCTTCTGAGGACCCTTTGTCACCAGCACATTAGTTGTGTCCTGTGGTGGTGCTCTTAGGTTCCATGGTGAATCAGGCAGCCCGGCCGTCTTGTCTGGGGTGATTATGTGCTCCCCGTGAGGGGCTCAGTGCACGCAGGGGTGGTGGGGGTCCCAGGCCCTGGGTGCCCCTCTGAGTCATGTCCCACCCTGGGGCAGCCACCATCCTGAACTCGGAAGCCCTCACCTTTCTTTACGGTCTGGCCACACGTGTGCCCAGTGACGTGTGTTTTGACCTTTATGTGAATGAGGCACAGTTAGGTCTTCATCTGTGAGTGGCTTTTTCACGCAGCCTGATGTTGGGTGTTGGGGTGACGTGCATACATTGGGGGGTGTTCTGTTGTGTACACGCTCCGGTCAATGGAAACGTGGGCTTCTTCAGGTTTTTGCTATCACAATCTCCATCAGCTTTTAAAATCCTCCTGGCCCCTCTGTTTGTTTGAAGTACAGAATTTCTGCCTGACAAGTCCTTGGTCCATGGAGGGGCCTCTGGAGTCGAGGTCCTGCGCCTCGCGGGGAGGGGGCCCGGCGCAGGGCTCCACGGGGCTGTTTCGGCTCCGGCACCATTGGCGTCTCTTGCCCAGGGCCAGTTCCCTCTGAGCCCTGACTCTCCCTCCTGCTGACACTGCAGAGCGCGGCCCGTCAAAGCGCAGTGTGTCGTGGGTTTGTGTGTGGGGTTGGGGGTAGGTCGTGCACGCTTTCCCTGGATGTCCAGCTGGGGTCCGGCTGAGGCCCATGCTGACCCTGCATGCCCGTTGGACGGCTGCCACGTGGCAGACAGCTTTGCTGTGCCAGCCCCACAGCCGCCTCTGAAGAACAAATTCAGCTTCAGCAGAAAGCTCCAAAGAGTATGGAATTAGGGCAAACAAGTGGAGGATTAAATTGGTGCTGTCAGTTCTGCTGCTAATATCCAGCATTTTCTCTTCCCGACTCACCTGGGGACTTGTGGCCCTGAGTTCGCACCACTTCCCACCTCTCGTGGGCCTCTCACTCCAAACGCTTGGCAGCTTCTTCCTGCCCCAGGACTGCTGGCTAGGGGTCCAGGTGTCAGGGTCACCATGTGTCATGTCCCGTCTGCAGTCAGCTGACACTGAGAGAGGCGGCAGGTGCATCCCCCTGGCTGTGGGTCTCGTGGTTGGCTGCCTGTCCGGCACGTGGTGCTCTGGGCGGTGCCGGGCATGGGAGGTCACGGGCTGCTGGAGCGAAGGTGATGCCATGTCCTTTTCTGTCCCCAGACCACCAGAAGCTGGAGAGAGAGGCACGAATCTGCCGCCTTCTGAAGCATTCCAACATTGGTGAGCAGCCCTCTGTGGGGGTGGGGGCGGGTCGCAAGCAGCCCTTCCCTTCCAAGGACCAGCCTTTCAGAGAGACCCCTTCTCCGCTGAAGTGTGGCACCCTCGGTCCCCTGGAAGCGTCTCCTCTTCCTGACCTGGGGGATTCCTGGGGTTTGGGGCAGCCCTCTGGGGGAGGTCAAGGCCAGGCTCTGCCTGGATGGGTCTCTGCCCGCTGTTCCATCACGCCGAGCTGTGATTCTCCTAAAAACATACAGGAGCCTGAATGTTCTGTGGCTTCGGAAAAACCACAGGACAGCTGGATTATAGAGAAAAAAGTCTGAAACCAGAGACCCACCCAAGACCACACCAGGTGCAGCCCTGGCCTGAGGTCTGAGGCCTGAGGTCTGAGATCTGTTTCTGGGGGCCTCTGCTGTCCCTGCCAGCCCAGGGCCCCTGGAACGGCAGTCTGGATCCAAGATCCCAGCCTGTCAGCTGCCCCTCAGGGGCATGTGCAGCCCTGGGAGCCCAGGCCCTGGTCTCAGGGAGTGAGGCCACCCTGCCCGCCAGAAGGTCCATTCTTTCTGAAGCCCCAGACCAAGTCCATGTGGATGCTACCACTGTAGAAGATGCTTGGACCCCAGGCCATGCTGACCCTGGAAGTTGGCTTGGATCTCCAGGGGCTACTTGGCCTGCCCCGCTCAGCTGTGGGCCCACCCCTTGCCCCTGAGGCTCCAGGGTGGGCCCTGCTGGTCGCCTTATGGAGCAAGCATGTGTGTCCAGCTGTCTGTCCTTCTCCACCTCTGGTCCCTTTAGGGCAGTGAGGAGCCCAGGACCCAGGCCCTGCCCTCTTTGGGAAGCAGCCAGGAGACACCAAGGGGACAGTGGGCCCTCTGCCTCAGAAGCACCCGGGAGCTGGTCACAATGGATTCCTGGGCCTCTCTTGCCAAAATTCTGACTCAGTTGTGCCAGGCCGGGGTCCAGGACTCTGTCTTTAAAAGGAATATTAGGTTGTGCTGAGCAGCCAGTTTGAGAGTCCCTGGCCTGGTGCATCCTAGACCTGGGCCTTGGCCACATGGGGGGCCCAGCGGGACCAAGAGGGCCCCAGGAGGGCTCGGCTGGTCCTCAGAGCTGGTCCTGGGAGCCCTTGCCCCTCTGGCTGTGGCCCCCCAGGGTGCTGGGTCTTCTCCAGCTGTCCTGGCCCAAATGGGAGGTGTGGGGGAAGGCAAACCTCTGATTTCTTAGGCAGGCCCTGGGTGGGGGCCTCAGCGCTGCTCCAGCCTGCAGACTTCGGCCACGTGCTTTTCAATCACGGACTATCAAGGCTGAGTCTCTCGGAATCACTGGCATTCGGATTCTTGACCTGCCCCCAGAAGGCCTGACTTAGAGGCGTGGGCTGGGCCCGGGAATCTGAATCTCCAAGAGCATGCCAGGGGATTCTGATGCAGGTGTCCACAGAGACCCCAGTCCACTCCTTAATGGCTGGGACACATTTTGGCAAACAGCGGGCTCCAGTCTGAACTCACCCTCCAGGCTGTTGCCCATCAGGGTGTCCAGGTCCAGCCACCAGGCAGACGCCACTCTCTGCCAGCTGTGCCCACACCCCTTCCCTCACCAGGCCCCACTCCTGCATCCACTGAGCACCAACCAAGGACAAGTCCCCCATTCTGAGCGATTTTCAGCAATGTCCTTAGGGGAGCAGACCCAAGTGTTCTTTGGCTTGGTGTTTTTGGACAATTCTTCTAGATGTCTTCCTGCCCTGCCTGGATGGCCAGTGAGGTTCTGGGTCAGTTCTGAGCAGTCCCTCAAGTCCCTCTAGTGGCTTCATTCCAGAACACAGGGAAGGCAGAGCGGAGGTTGTAGCGTTCAGACAGAACATTCCAGAGCACAGGGAAGGCAGAACTGAGACTGTGGGGTTCAGATGGAACAGTCTGGAACACAGGGGAGGCAGAACTGAGGCTGTAGAGTTCTGGTGGAACATTCCAGAACACAGGAGAGGCAGAACTCAGACTGTGGGGTTCAGACAGAACATTGCAGAACACAGGAGAGGCAGAACTGAGACTGTGGGGTTCAGACGGAACATTCCAGAACACAGGAGAGGCAGAACTGAGACTGTGGGGTTCAGACAGAAAGTTTTCTGTAGATTCAGGAGGGGCTCTCTGAGGGGTAGGTAGTGGATAAGACTTGAGGGGATCCCTTGGCTCCATGGCCCATGTCCTCCCAGCCCCACCACTGAACAAAAATGCTCCCAGGACCCCTGGGAGAGGAAGCGGGATCACACGCAGCCAGGTGTGGGGCAGGGGCTCTGGGAGGGCTTCCCCTTCCGGTCCTGGCTTACTCAGGAAGCATCTGTGCTCAGGGTGTGGGCAGGAGGGAAGGAGCCTCAGTTTCCCCATCCATGAAGTAGAGATGCTCCTGCCTCCCTCGCAGGGACCTCGTAGGAGGACCCGAGATGATTCACATGGAGAGCAGGGTGTAAGCTGTAAGACTCCGTCTCTTCTGAAGTGACAGCTGAGGTTCAGAGTGCAGAGACCTGGATTCGGGCCCAGCCTTACCACTCACAGGCTGCAGCCGCTGCTGAACTCTCTGAGACATGGTCTCCTTGTGTGTGGCATGGGGGTGTAAGTGCCACCCACTCTGTGGAGCTGTATCACGAGTGTGTTAGTCATCCATGCTGTGTAACAAATTACCCCAAAGCTCAACCAGCAAGCGTTGGTTTTCTCAGTTTCTGTGGATTCAAGAGCAGTTCAGCTGGCTGATCAGGGCTGCTACATAACTTGTGGGATCAGTGCAAAATGAAAACGTGGGCCCTTTGTTTAAAAGTTAAGAATTTCAAGACAGCAACAGCAGAGCAGGGCCCTCCTGAGTCTGTGGCCTGGGGTGGCTGCACAGGTGCATGCCCGCGAGCTGGGCCTGCTTTGGGGCTCCAATGTGGTGTAGACACTGGCCAGGGCTGCATCTTCTGAAGGTTTGACTGGAGCTTTAGGATTTGCTTGCAAGGTGGCTCACTCACCTGGCTGTCGGTGGGAGGCCTGAATCCCTCCCCATGTAGACATCTCCTCAGGGCCGTGTGAGTATCTTCAGGACATGGCCACGGGCTCCCCAGAGTGCGTGATGACAGAGAGAGAGAGAGAGACAGGAAAACAAAGAGAGACAGACAGAAAGAGACAGAGAAAGCCAAAGACAGACAATGAGAGAGAGAGGGAGGGGAAGGAGAACAAGGAACACAGTGCTTTTTTAACTCAAATTTTGGTAAAATATACATAGCATAATATTTGTCATATTAACCATGTTTAAGTGTACAGGTTAGTGGCATTAAGTACATTCACAATATTGTGTAACCATCACCACCACCTGCACCCAAACCTTTTTCATCACCTCAGTGGAAACTCTGCACCCATTAAACACTAACTCCCCCTTGTCCCCTCCCCTCAGTCCCTGAAACCATCGTTCGTTCTGTTTCTATGAATTTGACACTCTAGGAACCTCACAGATGGAGGACCATACAACATTTGTCCTTTTGAGACTGGCTTATTTCACTCAGCATAATGTCCTCAAGGTTCACCCATGTTGTAGCATATTGCGGAAGTTCCTTCCTTTTCAAGGCTGAATAATATTCCATTGTGTGTATAGACCGCAGTTTGCTTATCCATTTATCTGTTCATGGACATCTGGCTTTTTTCTGCATGTCGGCTACTGTGACTAATGCTGCCATGAACATGGGTGTGCAAATATCCGTCTGAGCCCCTGCTTTCAACTCTCTGGGTGTATACTCCTCAGCAGGATTGCTGGACCACCTGGTCATTCTCTGTTTACCTTTTGGAGGCACCGCCGTGCCTTTTTATGATCTAGTCTAGGAGGTGTCACACTGTCACCATGCCTTATTCTGTTTATTTGGTGACCACACACGAGGGCGAGGGAGCCAAGCTCCCCTCTTAAATGAGGAGCATCAGAGACCTTGGATGCGTTTCACAACCGCCACGATGAACACGTGGAATGTCTGCTGGGCTGAGCCCGCACGCTGGGAGTCGGGTGCACGGAACTAGCCCCGAGCAGCAGCTGCAAGGCAGAGCCCCCCCAACCCCGGGGGTTTGGTTTCTCTTCAGAGACAAGGGGGGACCCGGGCAGGGGAGACAGTCGTGGCCCGGCCATGGCAGCGCTTGGTGTGGGGACACAGTGGGGTTTTTCCCAGGAGCAGGCCTGGGCGTCAGGAACCAGCATGACCCGTGAGGGCCTGGCCCTGGGCCCTCCACACAAACGGGCTTGTGTATGTGTTACCTCGAGTTGACACCCTCCACCCGGGTCTCAGGAATTTGCTGTTCAGCGCGTATTTATGGACATCTACCCCTTGCCAGGGAGGTCCCCAGAATGGAGACGTGACCGTGGGCAGGGTGGCCTCTGCCCTCACCTCACTGGTAGGCCTTGGCCAGGAGCTCAAGAGGTTGCTGTTCAGCAGGCAAGCAGGTCCCAAACCTCTTGCTGCCCCCAGGGGCCCTGGAGTGACAGAGATTCAGCAGAACCTATGGCAGGTAGAATCTTCCACAGCTTGTTAAGCTGGGCCCAGCACCCTGTCGGGGATTGAGCAGAGCCTGTCAGCCTTAACTCAGAGGAGCACCCTCAGCCTCCTTCCAAGTTCCCCATAGCCTCCCTCCAGCCTCCCCTCAGCCTCCCACCAGCCCCCACTCAGCCTTTGCTCAGCCTCCTCCTAGCCGCCCCTCAGCATCCCCAGCCTCTGTTCCTGCCTCCACTCAGTCTTCTTCAGCCTCCCCTTATCCTCCCCTCCAGCCTCTCCTTAATCTCCCCTCAACCTCCCCCCAGCCTCTCTCCAGCCTCCCCTCTGCACACCACCCCTCTCTCCCCTCGGCTTGGCTCAGTGATGGCAAATCCCCACCTCCTGGTTTCTGGGGCTGGAAGCGCCCTCCTTCACTGGGTGTTCACCCATGAGCTGAGCAGGTGGGCATCATGGAGGACGATGGGTGTGGGATGGTGTCCTGCCAAGATGAGGCCAGTGCAGGAGGGGAAAGGGGAAAGGTTTCCAGTCTCCAGATGCTCAGGGCCCATGCTGCCATCCTACAACTGATCATATTTTTTGACACAGACAGCACAGGGGTCCAGGAAGGGTCCGAGAAGCTGCTTGGGAGGGGCAGAGGCGCCCCCCATGAGAGGCCTTCAGCCTGGGACTTGGGGTGCAGGCCCTGGAGGAGCTGTGGCCCCAGCAGTGGGGCGTGTCCCTGGACAGCCTGGTCCCCTGTCACCGTCCTCACCCAGGGCTTCCAGATGCGACTCTCCTGGGTGCCGCTGGGGATTTATTTTTTTGCCGCCACCTCATGTCACCCGCAGTTACTTACTGTTTTTTGTTTAAATCGATTCTATGACAACTCACTTTTTTACTTAACCCTGTCTTGTGAAATCATCAGTCTGATGATTTAGAGGTCTTTCTCTAAACCATAAAAATAATATGCAACTATTTTTCAAATGTAAAAAAAAAAAAAACCAGGAATGTCCATGTACACATGGCTTCTACTGCCACACAGCCAGCAGGACCTGAAGCCGACCCCTCTCACCTGTCCTGGGGGGCAGCGGCCTGGGGGTAGGGATGGCCTCTACTGGGAGGAAGGCCCTGCAGCACCCCAGCTGTATGGACCCCTGGGGCCCCCCCGAGGAAGTTGAATTCCCCTGCACAGGAGGAGAGACAGGCCCCAGGAGTGTCCTCGGTGGGTGCTGCCTGCAGGGACTCGCCAGTGGCGGGGGGTGGGCCCCCGGGTCTTTCTCTGCTTGGAGCTCAGGTGGAGGCAGCTGGGGGTGGGGAGGCTAACCAGAGGAGCCGACCTTCTGAGCCCCACCAGAAAGGAGAGAGGAGGATGTGAGCTTCTGTTCACTCCTTGATTTCGCAGGAGAGTCCCAGAGGGAGGTTGCCTGGGAGCCGGGTCCACTGTGTGTTAGGGAGACGCAGGTCAGTGTGGGTGGCATTGGTGGGAGGTGCCGGACGTTGGTCCCAGGCGTGCACAGGCCAGAGGAAGGTGAGTGTGGGCTCTGCGTGGCTGGAGGCTTGCTGGATATGCCAGTGGGGGAGAGGTGACCACGGCCCAGGCAGCTGGTGGAGGACATGGGCCCTGGAAGACCTTGCTGTGTGAGGATGTAGCCAGGGTGGGGGTGAGGGGTAGAGGACAGAAGGCTGGACGGTGGGCCCTTGAGCAGAGACACAGAGCCAGAAGTGGGAGGGGGAGACTGTGAGAGGGGCAGGCCTGCGAGACAGGAGACCCCAGAGCTGGTGCGGGCTCCTCCTCGGTGACCAGGCACCCTGGCTGCTCCGGCAGGGCTCGCCCTCAGGTGCTAGGCTTTGCTGGAGGTCAGGGGCTGCTGTAGCCAGATTGGGTTCCTGGCATGAGGACACTGCTGGCCGGGCCACTGGGAGGACCAGAGCTGGAGGAGGGAAGACGCTGGCAGCCCTTTCCCACCAGGAGAGGCTAGTGGAGCAGCAGCGCTGTGGGGTTCTGAGCCCCTGTTCACACTACTCCTCTATCTTTTGGGAGCTGTGTGATCCTCAGTTGGTCACTCAGCCTCTCTGTGCACCAGCTTCCTCATCTGCTGCCTCTTGGGATGGTTGGGACTGTTATGGATGAGCACACAAAGCGCTTAGAGCTGTGTCTGCATCGGCAGCTCCTGATGCAAAGGGCAGAATCCAGCATATGGGGTGAGCGTCCAAAATGAGCTGTTGCTAGAACTGTTTGCGGTTTAGTGCCACGTGCATCTCCAGCTCAAGGGAAAGGAGGCAGTGGGGTTGTGTTCTTTGTGCTGAAATCCACTTTGATGTTCACTCACTCACTCATTCATTCGTTCATCAAATCCTAACCAGCACCGACTCTGTGCTGGCCTTGTTCCAGGCTGAGGGGCACAAAGTAAACAGACTAAACCATGATGCGGGAGGACGTGGCTGTGGTGCCATCAGCCCCGCTGGTTCTGGAATCGGAGGTCAGGTCTGAACCTTTGGAAGTGATGCCTCACTAGGCGAGTGGTCCTCTGCCCGGGCGTCCCTGCCTCAGCCTGTCGCAAGAGGCTGGCAGTGGAGCCTCGCTGTGCTCCTCTCCTGTGAAGCCCCTCAGTGGCTCCTTTTAGGGCCTAGTGTGTGAGCCCTTGTATCCCACGGCCCCCGCCCCTCCTGCCCCTCTCTGTAGTGTTTAGGAGCAGTGGACGCCCCAGCTGGAGGCTGAGAGAGTCCTGGGTCTCCCTCTGGCAGAGGAAAGGAGAGACCAGACAGTCAGAGGCTCCCTGGATGCTCGCCTGGGGCTGGCCGGCCTGCAGGGCCCACAGCTCTCCCCTCAGCTCTGCCCTGCCGCCGGCCTGGCTGGACCCTTCGGAGGCCCGTGCTGTGGGAAGCCCCGGGCTGGCCCTTGGCAGGGGGTGGGTTCCCTCTTTGGAGAGTTTACACAGTGGCTGGGGACCTGGACAGGTGTGGAGGCAGCCTTCCTGGTGCGGGTGGGTCCCGGGCTGCTGCCAGCCCCTCACAGCCTCTCCTGTCCCCACAGTGCGCCTCCACGACAGCATCTCCGAGGAAGGGTTCCACTACCTGGTCTTCGATCTGTAAGTGCCGGGGCGCAGGGCCTCGCCCTCGTCTGCCCCCAGCATCGGGCCCACCGCCTCCCTAGGCCCTGGCGGACAGTCCGTCCACCCCCGGGTCACCTGGCTCCCAGCTGTGCCGGGCCCAGCCTCCCTGGCCTCTCCTCGTTTGCTTTGCACTGGGGTATGGAGACCCACAGGGATGGGCCTGCCCTGCTGGGCCCTCTCCACGCAGAACAGGGCCCGCTGGAGGCTGGCAGGGGCTGAGGCGAGAGAGGAAGGGGCAGACCCCCAGAGGGAGAGTCAGTGGCCTTCCTTCACCTTCCTTCCCTTGGGGTCCTCCTCACAGCTGAACGGGGGCACCACTGGCTGGCATGAGTGTGTGTGTGCGTGCGTGTGTAAGAGTGCATGTGTGTGTGATTGTGTGTGTGCATCTGTGTATGTTGATGAGCATGCATATGTAGGTGTCAGCATATGAGAGTTTGAGTGTGATTGCACGAATGTGCATGTATGATTTGTGGGGGTGTATACATGTGTGCATATGACTGAGCATTTGTGTGTGTTTATGAGCATGCATGTGTGGGTTTCAGCATGTGTGAGGGAGTATGTGCATGTGTGTGTGATTGCATGAATGTGTGATCTGTGGGTGGGTGTGCACGTGTGTGCACGTGTGATCTGTGGGTGGGTGTGCATGTGTGTGATTTGTGGGTGGGTGTGCATATGTGTGCGCATATTTGTGATTTGTGAGGTGCGTGCATGTGTATACACACGTGGGTGATTTGGGGGGTATGCATGTGTGCACATGCATGTGTGTACGTGTGTGATTTGGGGGTGTGTCCGTGTGTGTGTGTGTACACATGTGCAGCGGCTGAGTGAGGAGGCGTGAGGCCTGGGCTGCCTGTCCCTTCCTGCTGGCTGTGGAAGTGGCAAGCTCGTGCCCGTGCTCCTGACAGCCCTGCTCAGCAGTGCTACATTTGGCTGTCCCTGTGTCTGCCGCTCAGGACCTTGGAGTGGGCAGGGGCTGTAGGCTTTGGGCGGCCCCATTTGGCCTCTGGGCAGCTGCGTGGCCAGGGAAGCCCAGCCAGGATGCTGTTGCCACGGTGATGAGAGAAGCCTGCCCACAAGTGGGAGCTCTTCCTCCCTCAAGTGAGAGGTGCCTGGGCAATGGGGTGCAGAGGCCTGAGGAGCCCTCAGCCCACTTAGGTCCTCTGGTCAAGAGAGGCTGGGATTGTCCCTGCAGGGGCTTGGCCACCTCTTGTTGTCGCATAAAACACTACTTCAAGTCACCAGCCGGGTGGCCAAGGCTGACCTGGGACACCACTGCCACCGCTGGGCCTAGGCTGTGGCCGGAAATGTCTGTCTCATGACCCCTGTGGAAGTGGCAGGCTTGCTGCCACCCTTGTGTGCCCCCAGACCCACCAAGCTCCACCAGCCTCTTTCCCAGGAAATGTAGAGGCCACTGGGCTGGAGGGTGGCTGTGCCTGGGGCCCCTGGGGCCAACAGGTGCAGACAAGCGGGGAGAGAATTGGGAGGGGTGTGCATGTGTGTGCGTGTGCACGTGTGTGCACGCGTGTGAGAGGTTCTTCTCCCTCCTGGTCCACATGACAGTGGGTGTGGGGAGAGGCTCTGAGGGGCTGGCAAGAGGAAATTGGCTTGTGTTTCTGGAGGGGAGGGCCTGGGCCCTGCACATTGTTCCCCCAGACCTCTGTGGGCCCCAAGCCTTCAGTGGCCCCAACCCTGCAGAGGCCCCCACTCTGGGAGATCCAGGACACCCCTGGGCCTCAGGCAGGTTTTGGGGTGAGGGGAGGGCCTGCAAGGGGGCTGTGGAGGGAGAGGGGAAGGGTGGAGGCCTCTGCAACTCTGTGGCCCCGGAATTGGGGAAACTGTTTCTGGCCGGGGTTGACATCGCCTTTACGAGGCCCCAGGTCCCCTTGGCAGTTTGCAGACTCTGTGGATTCGAGGGTTGACAGGTTTCCCCACTCCCCACACCTGGGAATCACAGGGACTTGGGGACCAGCCCAGGGAACAGAGGAAGGCGCTCCCCCGTGGGCCGTGGCGCCAGCCCAGAATCAGCCATATTGTCTGGCCGGGGCCTGAGGAGAGGGAGACGGGGGCAGATGCTGGTCTCCTGACCAGGCGCTTCGTGGCCAGCACCAAACTCCCCAGCTACCAATTCCCCACCCTGCAGCTCTGGACCAAGTGGCCCCAGACGCCATCAGCACAGACTGGAGCCTCCTGTGGATACAGGACCCAGAGGGTCTGTCCCCAGCCCCAAGCAAGGCCTCCTGGGGGGCTCCCTGCATTCCTGCTGTGGCCCTGGCCAAGACCTGGCAGCCTTTTTGCCTCTGCCCTGTGCCTGCACTCGGGGTCTGCAGAACCTGACCTGTGAGCTGTGTGTGCCGAGATAAACAGTGAGTCCCCCTTTCCTGGGCTGGACCTAGAACTCCATCCTCCTGCTACGCACACGCGCGCAAACACACACACACACGCACACGCACACACACACACACGCACAGATGTGCACATAGGCACCTAGAATTTCATCCTGCTACACACACACACACACACACACACACACGCACAGATGTGCACATAGGCACCTAGAATTTCATCATGCTACACACACACACACACATGCACAGATGTGCACATAGGCACCTAGAATTTCATCATGCTACACACACACACACACACACAGGTGTGCACATAGGCATGTGTGCATACACAGGCACACATGTGCACACATGCACATGAGCCACTGCCTCCCTTGGGCAGTCACCTACTGTGAGCCTCAGCCTCCTCTCATGGCAAAGTGGGACCCTAAAAGCTCCTCACTTCTGGAGTTGTTGGAAGGTCCAGTGGCATGGCAAGCATCTACCCTGGAGTGTGGGGTGTGTTAACACAAAACACTTCCTCGTTTTTGTTTTTCTCCAACACTAAGAGAGAGCCTGCCTACACCAGGGCCACCAGTTGAGCAGTGCCCATGCCTTTGGTCACCCCTGCCATGTGCCAGCTCAGCCCTGGGTTCTGGGCACAAAAATGAGGCCAACCTAAGCCCCACCTTCGAGAGCTAATGGGAACTGAAATGCAAATGGAGAGACCACCGCACATGGGGCTAGGGTGCTGAAAGGAGATGTGGTCCCCCAAGACATGAGGAGACTCTGGACCACAGCAGGGGTGGGAAAGCTCTAGATGGAGGCTTCCAGCGGACCCAGAGCGTGTGAAGTGGGGCACCTCCCTGCTGCCCTGTGCATCTGCCCCTCACCCTGTTTCCTTCATCTTCTTGTCCACATCCACATTTCCCAGCCGGGGAACCCTGGGCAGCCCCAATCCTTTCTGGGTTCCCAGAGGCCCTCCAGGCAGTGGCTCCTGCCCTGAGGGTCTATCCTGACCGTAGGGCCCGAAGGCCACTCACTGGGCAGGAAGACCTGGCAAGACAGTGTGTAGACAGAGATCCCACTTTTCTCCTGGAAATGGGAGTTCCGACACTTCGCAATATCACCCACCAGGAAGGCCAGATCCGGGCATCATCTCTTCTGTCCCCTCTACTCTGTGTGGGTGCCGCATCTCTGGTCCTGGCAGATTTGAGGAGGGGAAACCAGATCTTCTCAGGCCTAGAATTAGAGGCACAGGCCTGGGTAACACTGCTGAGGCCTGGGTCAAAGTCTTGTGCTGCCCACTCTGGGCAGGTCACTGAGATCATTGCAGCTCAGTTTTATGAGCATAAGAGTGCCAACATCACGGAGCGGGTGTGGACTAAAATGTTGAATGCTGCCATATGTGAGTAAGCACTTGGTAAGCTGTCGGTCCTAGGTGACAATGGCGATAGGGCAGAGGTGGTGGTGGTGGAGATGGAGGTGGCGGTGATATGTAGGAGGTGGCAGAGATGGAGATGGTAGTGTTGATGGTTGTGGAGGTGGAAATGGTGGAAGTGATGGTGATGACAAGCAGGAGGTGATTAAGATGGAGATGGTGGTGGTGGGGATGGTTGTTGAAATGGTGATGGTGGTGGTGGTGTTGATGGTTGTGGAGGTGCAGATGGTGGTGATGGTGATGACATGCAGGAGGTGGTGGAGACGGGGGTGATGGCGGTGGTGGAGATGGAGGTGACAGCGGTCTCCAGAATCCATGAACTCTGTGTGCTTTTCCCACAGGGTCACTGGTGGGGAACTCTTTGAGGACATTGTGGCGAGAGAGTACTACAGTGAAGCGGATGCCAGGTGGGTGTGGAGCCCTCATGCCATCCTGCCCCAACTTCTCCTGCCCACCCTTCCCTCACTCAGCCCCACTCCTGCCCCTCTGGCCCACGTCTGCTCCTGTGTGCATTGTCCTTAAAGTGGCCCGGGCAGATGGTCAGCTGGGTGGAGGTGTCAGCCCAGCCTCCGGCCCCACCCAGCCCTGCTGGGAGCTCTCTGAGCAGATCGAAGGAGCAGGAGGCAATTTTTTGTCCTTAACTAGCACAGCACGGAGGTGTGGCCCAGGTCAGGGAGGGGCCAGGCCTGCTCGGTCTCCCCTGGAGTGGGAACTGGCCCACGGAGGGGTGCTCTCCTTGCATGGCTGGTAGGGAGAGCAGAGTGTGGTCGTGGGCCTCTTCCTGCCCCTCCCTTGGATGACTGACTATAGCCCACAATGGGCACCCCTGGGCAGCCCTTCCTGCTGGGGTCAGTCCTCGCTGGGGGATGAAGGGGACCAATGGCCTCAGAAATGCCCTCTGCTTCGTGGCTGCTGGGAGATGGCAGAGGCCCCCTCCCTGGAAAGGTAGGCCACCCATGGCCTGCTGTGGTCCATGCTCGTAGACCAGATGCCACCCTGATCCGTGACAGGAATGTCACCCCTGACAGTACATCTCAGCTCGGAGAGCGCTGAGGGTGGTGACTCCCTGCCCGCCCAGCACAAGGAGACACACATTTGAAAAAGAGAAAGACTGACAGTGGCCCTCTCTAGGCGGTGGAGTCTTAGATGCCTTTTAACTTTTTTATCTTCTTTGTCTATTTTTAAACTTTCCTTTAATGAATATGTATTACTTTTCTAATCAAGGAAAATGAATATTACTTTTTAAAGTAGCTTTTTGTGACTTGCTTCTGCACCCACAGGCAACCTTACCTGTCAGTGACTGCCTGAGTCCCTGTGAAAAGGTGTGAGTGGGTCCTGGTGCCACCTGGACCCCCCCCCAGGGTGGGGCAGCTGGAGGCGGGGTGGGGCCTGGCCTTCGAGCTGGGTGGGCTGGAGGGGGGCGGGGCCGTGGCTGCCCCTCTGGAGATCACGGGATGGCGCAGGGCCACAGCTGATTTTCTGAGGGTCCTTGAGGAAGGACTGATTTTGCACAACAAACTGGGAGTGGCCTGTCCCCTTCACAAGCGGGAAGATGCCCTTTTAATTTCACTTACAAGGAAAGTAGAAAGTGAAAGGCAGCCACCCCTTCCGCTCTGCAGTGCTCTGGTGGGAGTGTCCTGAGCGTGGTGCCTGCCTGCTGGGAAGGCCAAGCGTCATGGCACCTGCCAGGGCAGGGGGCACTCTGGGGCTCACAGATGCAAGCCAGGCCAGGAGGGAAGGGTCCTGGGGGGCTGCCCCAGATCCAAGCCCATGGCCCACAGTCAGGACAGCGCCTGGACTGGACTCTCGCTCAGGACGTGAAGGGCTGCCTTCCATACCTGCCTCCAGCACCACCTGGGCACCCCAGGGAGGTTCTTTGCGTTCACTGTTCTCTGTTTCCCTGCCTGGAACATCCTGCCCAGGCTCCTTGGTCCTCAGCAGCTCCCCCTTGGCTTGGAGCCCCTGGGCCCCTCTGCCTCCCCACAGTGCCTTTCTGCTGTGCCTGTGTGCCCACATCCAACCACAGCCCCCAACTCCTGCGGCCTTGGAGCTCCTGCCTTGCCCACCTGCCCCTCCTGCCTGCCTCCTGGCCTCCTCTTCTCCGACGCTTCCTCCTGCCCCTGGCCCCACCTCTCCACTCCTGGGGATCCCTCCTGCCCTCCTCGGACGGCAGGCGTCCTGACCCCCTCCTGGAGACCTGTTGAGGAGGGCTCCCCTGGAGTTTGGGGCCCCTTGGAACTGGCCCAGAAGAGATGGGGACTCTGAGCCGGGGCCCTACCCACAAACGTCTAGATCCACTCACAAACTCTGCCTTGCTCATAGACTGTGAGGAGGAGAGAGGGAATGAGGGGCGGTCTTGGGGAGCCCCCTCTACCTGGCCCCACTGGTAAAACCCGTGCCCCAGGCTGCCTCTTTTCCCCGGAGTCCTGGTCCCTGGATGGAGTTGGAGACATCTTGTATTTGACCGTTGTGCTGGTGCTTCATCTTTGGGCAAGAGAGCCTGAGTCCCATGTGGATGCCCACGTGGGCGGTCACCCACTGGCATCGTCTGGAACTGTGGCGGACCAGGTGAAGGCAGGGGCAAGAAAGCCCCTCCTGGGAGAGCAGTGGAGTCAACCACGTTTCTGCGGGGGGACCCCTGCTGGCAGGGGTCAGCGGTGCTGAGGCAGGAGCCCAAGACCATCGGCTAGACCCAGGGAGGTGGGCGCCGCCCTCGCCAAGTGCATCAGCGACCGTTCCCGGGGCTGCCCGGGGCCGCACTGCTCAGAGCTGGGAGTCTGGCGAACTGTGTCTCTGGAGCAAGAGGAAGCCAGGCGGGGGTTGCTTTTCCGAATTCCTTTCTAACCGAGAAGGCTGAGATTCCTCTTCAGAGGGAGTGGGATCTTTATTTTAGAGTTTGTGGGGAAACTGAGGGGTCTTTTTTCAAACCTGGGAAAGCAAAGTTCAAAATACTTAGAATCCATTTTTCAAAATCCTAAAGAGCAATATGGTTCATGAGAGATGGTTAAAGGGGCCCGTAAGAATGCTGGCGTGCCAGGGCGGAGGTGGCGGAGGAGGGGAGGAGCACACCTGAGGTGGCGTCAGAGCCCAGACCGTGAGAATAACGTGCAAGAGCCGGCCTGCAACTGGAATGCCCCTTGGGAGCAATTCTGACCACAAAAGTGACTTTCTAAATTGTTGAGAGCATGAAAAAAAGCCTCACAAGGAGAATGGTACCATGCGAACAGAGGGCAAAGGGCAGGCAGGACCTGGCCTCATGTCCTCCAGGCCGAGGTCTCAGATGGAGACCAGGAAGGGCCTGGGAGGGGTCTCCAGAGGTCCCCGATGGGCTGCTTTCCAGACAGGGTGTCGCGTCCACCTGGTCTGCAGCCTGCAGAGGCCACTCCCATGTCGACCTGCGACGCTGTGAAGAATGGGGCCGAGAAACAGACCAGCACTTTTCTACTGGGGAAACTGGTTTGCTTGGCAGCTCGTTTGTGAGCACTGGGGGCAGAGCCAGCAAAAGTCTGTGTCCTGCCAACACACTTCTCCATCTGGGTGACCATGAGTGCCTTGAGCAGGGCCTGTGGGACGAGGGGACAGGGTCTGTCTGCAGAGTTGTAGAGCTTCGTTTCAGCCATGCAGGCCAAGTCCCAAGATGCTGTGGAGAGATGTAGGCCAGCTGCTGACTCCGCAGGTGCAGTCGCTGCATCTCTGGTGCTGATTGGGCCCTGCAGCCCCAGGAGGGGACATGGAGGAGGGCAGGGGGCGCAGCCCACCCCCATCCAAGCCGATGGATCCATCGGTGCCACGGCAGATGGATTTGTGGGTCCACCAAACGTTTGGGGAACATCTCCCTGCATGGCAAGGGTTGAGGACACATGGAGAGGAAAGAACTGACATGTGCCTGTGGTCACAGAGGCCACAGTCCAGTGCAGAGACGGAAGCTGCCCACACACCCACATGGAGGATGTGGCCACTGGGCATGCCCAACACAGACTCCAGAAGGCGTCCTCCAGGGGAAGATAGAAGTCGGGCTTGACCCTAAGCTCAACCCAGATTGGCAGCAGTCTCAGCAGGTCAAGGTTGGAGCCAGGTCACTCTGGGGCTGGCCAAGAGCAGCTGGAGGCACAGGAAATGCCAGCTTGTGGGCTGTTAAGGCCGCTGATGCCCTGGGCAAGGGGCAGGGGTTCCGTGGGGGTGGCAGAGCCCCCAGTTGGGCACATGGACGCAGACCCCCAGGGCAGAATCAGGGTCTGGCTGCAGCAGTGCATGCAGGGGCTGGTCCGCTGGAGGGTCAGGCAGGCCCCCATGTAGGGTGCTGTTGTGTGCGGGCATCACTGCATGAGTGAGCGCTGACAGATCCAGCACTCCTCTCCAGGGCTCTGGGTCTGTGAGTGGAGATGGGAGACCAACATCCCTAATGTGTGGCCTCCGCCTCTGCCCAGCTGTCCTCACCTCAGAAGAGGGGCCCTCGAGAGCTTCCCAGACCCCACAGCTGAGCTCTGCCCACTGGTATAAGGCCCCTAGACGAGCTGCTTCTGGTGGGTCAGCCCGTGGTGGGGACTGAGCCCGTGTCTGCAGGAACGGGGGCTGGCAGTGGCTGGACGTGGGGTTGGGGCAGGGATGAGGATCAAGAAGGATGGTTCCAGAAAGATGAGGGTGTTATGGGAGGGGCAGAGGTAGGGAGGGAGGCGCCTGGAGCGGGTCAGGCAGAAGAGCCCAGGGCACAGGACAGGAAAGCCCAGGACAGGGGACAGGAGAGCCCAGCTCGTCGTGAGGGCTGTGGTTCCAGCCCTTGGTGGCATGGGAGGGGAGGGACTGGGAGGGGCTATCTCACGAAGGATTGGGCCAGGCTCCTCTGACCCCCGCAGACCTTGGGAATCCAAGATTGTTAGGATGTGCTGAGGTCTAGGTCCGCAGGGTATGCTTAGTTTACTGTTGTTGCAGTGGGTGATGGTCTCCAGACGTGGCCAGAGCTATTTAAGGAAGAGGGCTGGTTCATCACCCCCTCTCTGAGTTTACCATTAGGAAAGCAGGGGCCCCCTCCAGCTGACCCTCAGTCACCCCACAGGGTCCAGCTGTGGCAGGAGATCTGAAGGAACCTGCCTGTCTCTCCCTCGCCCCAGCCCAGAAGGGCCGTGACCAAGATCCTAGGTGGTGGGCTCCAGGTGGCCTGTGGCCTCTGGTCTCCTGCAGCTGCCACGGCTGCAGGGGTGGTGTAGGATCCCAAGGGGCCTGTGCCTGGCTCTGGGGACAGCTGGAAACTGGACACCTGGGGCCACAAGGTCTCATGTGCGCCGGGACTAGGGGCATCTGGGTCTGATGTGCAGGGGACCTTGCTGAAGCAGAGGGGTTGGAGGTGCCTGGGGGCAGCCCGGACCTTCCCTCCAGTAAGTCATACCCTGGAAGACCTGGGACTTCTTGACCTGCAAAGAAGCCTCTGGCTCCGGGTCCTAGGCAGTGCCAGGTTGCCCGCTCGCCAGGAGAGCTCCCGGGCCCCCAGGGTGCTATGGAGCTGAGCTGTCCAGCGTTGCAGCCAGCAGCCAGTGTGGACGTTTAAGTTTGTTAGAATTAAATAACACATGCTCCAGTCAGAAGGGACTGGTGGCTGAAGCATCAGCAATGCCCCAGAACAGAGCAAGGCCCCAGTGCCCGGGGCATCACCCCCACACCGCAGCACCCGACTGCCCTCTCCCCCTTGCCATTTCACCTCTATCCTTTCCCTGCCTGCCCCCTCTTCCCAGCCAGCCTTGCAGGGTTTGAGCTCAGCCCTGGCCTCCCTCCCAGGGCACCTGGCTTAGGGTCAGGCTTGACCAGCATGAGCCTGGGGAGGGACGCACCAGAACAGGGATGTTTCTTCTGAGTGTCACTTCCACGGGCCTGACCAGAGGGGTGGGTGGGGCTGGGGGTGCAGAGGGGCCTGGCCGTGCCTTGTGCTGACCTGTGGGGGTGAGAAAGGGGCCCCAGAGGTGCCCCTCTGGCCAGCATCTCCTCTCTGGGGTGACAGGCAGCACCTTGATTCCCTGCTTCTCTGTGGCCCCTGCCAGGCTGGGGACCCCACCCCAGTACCACATAGCACCCCACTCCTGCACCTCCGCCCACTCCTCAGGGCCACTCGCACTAATGCGCCTGCTGTTTGCCGCAGTCACTGCATCCAGCAGATCCTGGAGGCGGTTCTCCATTGCCACCAAATGGGGGTCGTCCACAGGGACCTCAAGGTGAGTCCCCTACCCTGCTCTGTGCCAGGTCTCTGTTGTCTGTACCTGCATGTCATGTAAAAGGGGGCCCTGAGGGGGGCAGTGCAAGCACCAGGAGATGCTGTATACATGGGGGGACATGTGCATGTGTGTATGTGTGTGCATGCATGTGTGAGCACGTGTGAGAGCCTGCACGTGTGTGCACATGAAAGCCTGTGTGTGTGTGTGTGTGTGCGTGCGTGCACGCATGGATGTGTGTGTGCGCGCATCCTCCCAACGCCTCTAGGCTCCACGGCTGAGAGGGGGCAGTTGTCAAAAATTAGCCTATTAGCACATGTCCACTTGTGGTCTCACTTTCTGGGCTCTGGTTGAGATGCAGACCTGGCAGGCGGGACACAGGTGATGTGTGTGTAGGTGGGGCTGATGCCTTGGGAACAGGGGGAGAGGGGCCAGGCTCAGTGGCTTTTGAAAACTTCCAGCCCTTTCTCCAAGTCTCTGTGGCCCTTGGCTCTGCTCTGGGTAAAGTGGCTGCAGACTATTCAAAAGAAGCTTTGTCACCCCTAGGGCGCAGTGTGGAGGGAGGGCCCTCAGGAGGAGCAGCAACGCTCACTCCTCCTCCCTCCACCACCTCCTCCTCCCCCCTTCCCTCCTCCCTCCTTCATCTCCTCCTCCTCCCCTTCCCTCCTCCCTCCACCACCTCCTCCTCCTCCCCTTCCCTCCTCCCTCCTTCATCTCCTCCTGCTCCCCTTCCCTCCTCCCTCCACCACCTCCTCCTCCTCCCCTTCCCTCCTCCCTCCTTCATCTCCTCCTCCTCCCCTTCCCTCCTCCCTCCACCACCTCCTCCTCCTCCCCTTCCCTCCCCCCTCCTTCATCTCCTCCTCCTCCCCTTCCCTCCTCCCTCCACCACCTCCTCCTCCTCCCCTTCCCTCCTCCCTCCTTCATCTCCTCCTCCTCCCCTTCCCTCCTCCTCCCCTCCTCCTCTTCCTCCTCCCCTTTTCTCCTCCCCCTTCTCCTCCCCCTTCTCCCCCTCCTCCTCTCTCCTTCTCTCTCTCCCCCTCTCTCCTTCTTTCCTTCCTCCTAATCTCCTCCTTTCTTTGATGCCAGCTTTCTCCAAGGCTGGGTTTGGGTCAGTTTCTTCTCTGGAGAGGGAACCCTGGGCCTTTCATCCCTGCTGCGAGATCCTTTGGTGGCCTTTGAGACCATTTCTTCCCATGGGTGCTCATGCTGAGTGGGGTCACGCCTTCCCTGGGCCATGGAGGGGTGTGTGTGAGCTGATCTTTGTGGGGCTGCTCTGGGATGGTATCACACAGAACCCTCTCCTGTGTCCTTCACGTGTTCCCGCTTTCTCTGCACATCCTGTGTGGTCCTTGTCCTTTTACCTGCCAGCCAGGCCTGCCTCCTCTGTCCACCTGTCCCATAGGTCCTGCCCTATGTCACCGTGTCTTGTCTGAATGGCTTCACTCAGGGGCCTTTGGGAGGAGGGGCCACAGAGGAATGGGTACATGTCTCCACCTTGTTCCTGGACCCCAAGATTCATAAGTATGATGAGGGGGGTCAGAATCCTAGTTGAAAAAGACAAAAAGAAAAAAGGAGTCTGTCCTCCCTCCCCCCCCCCGCCCCCACCCCAACGGTGTGGGGGGCCGCACTCTAGAAAGGACCCATCGTCATGACTGAGACAGCCCCTGGGAGCGTCCCGTGGTGGGTTTGCTGTCGGCCAAGGTTGGGGGGGTGGCGCCATCCCAGGGTGGAGCCCAGCCCTCCCACCCAGCTCCCCACTGCTCCTGAGCTCCTCCTCTGGGGCTGGAGTAAGGGCTCGTCTCCTCTGGGGCGGGGCCTCTGGTCTGCAGAGATCAGGTCCTGCCCCCAGTTGCTGTCCCCGCCCATACCATGTCAGACTTGGTGATGTGGGGTGCACCGGGGAGGTTGGGGTCCCCCGTCCCACTCACTTTGGCAAAATCAAGATGTTCAGGGCCCTCCAGGCCATGCTGGGTGGGCAGGGTCGCGTCCCCAGCGTGCGTCACCTGGGGGGCGGGGCCTCATCGGCCAGTGGTGTGGGCTGGGAGCATCTCTGGTTTCTGCCACGTGGGCCTGGCATACTTCATCGCCTCTAAGGGCCGCTCGCTGCATTCTGGCACCGCAGGTTTGCCAGCAGTGTTAACACGGTTTGCTGGTGGCGTTTGTCTTTCCTGGTGGCACTAAAGTGGCAGTGTGGTCTTAGCCAGCCTGCCTGTCAAGAGGGCAGCCTGGTGAGGGAGCCGAGGGTGGGGGGAGTCCCCTGGCAGTCAGGGACGAGGAAGTCCAGCACCTGCGAGCTCTGAGTGCTGACCGCTGGGAGGTGATGAGGCCGGTGGGACAGGCTGGGATGGTAGGGGCCCAGTGTACAGGGACTGTACCCATAGGCCCTCAGGGCCAAATGTCTCCAGTCAGGGGACAGCAGCCTTCTTGGTGCTCCAGCAGGACAGGGGGCGAATGTCCTTCCAACTTGAGCAAGGGCACTGCTCCCTAAGGTAGGGAGGCGTGGGGGGGGGCCCCTTTCCCAGCTGTGGGTGCTGGACGGGTGTGTGGTCAGAGCAGGCGCCTTGCACCCAGCTCTTGGGACTTGGTAGGTGGGTGTCCTGCAATGCCCATGCTGTGGGGGCCCTTGGTCGTCCCTCTTTGCCCTTTAGGGGTTGCCATTCAGCAGGAAATGTCTGAGCCCCCCAGCAGGCAGCCCCTCCACCATGTCTCTGAGCAACCAGACAGGGGGAGGTGGGGGGCTTCCCTCCTCTCCTTCCCTCCTGCGTGGCCTGCCAGGGCTTGTAGGGTGCGCTCAGTTTGGGTCCCAACGCCCCCAGGTTCATTATTGATGGGTGTGAGGGATCCGAGCTTGCACTTTGAGAGCCAGCTTCCCTCTTCAAGGCTAGGGCTCCTGTCCTTGCCCTAGGAGGGGGGATGGGCTGTGGGGTGCAGGCCCAGGGTCCCAGGACTCTAGGGTGTGCCAAAGACGAGGGGGCCCACAGGGTGTTGGCGTGCTGGAGGAACACCCACGTGGTGGGAGCTCAGATCTATGAGCCTCAGTTTTGCCCCCCTCCCTCCCGTGACACCCCTGGATGTAAACCACTCGCCCTCAGCCGGTTGCCTTACCTGCAGCCCGAGAACCTGCTCCTGGCCAGCAAGTGCAAAGGGGCCGCGGTGAAGCTGGCAGACTTCGGCCTGGCTATCGAGGTGCAGGGGGACCAGCAGGCCTGGTTTGGTGAGTGTCTGACTGGCAGGACGGTGGGAGGTGTCAGCCGCGCCCCCCCCCCCCCCCCCCTCCCCCCCC